TGTGTGTGTGTGTGTGTGTGTGTGTGTGTGTGTGTGTGTGTGTGTGTTAAATGCAGTGGTCGTTGCAGACACACCTGGCAGAGATCTCCACCTTTCTACTCGTAAATGAGTTGATTAATTATCATAATATATTATTTAGCTTTTCCAATATGGGTATGAGAAATGTATGTATTCAGTACATAAGGATCTATTGAGGTCCACTGCAATAACCGTTTTCCGCACACGTTTCAATAACGTCTAACATTTTGTTTTTCGTTTTCTTCAAATCATGAACTCAAACAACTAAATGTTGTCAAATATAAACTATATGAATATAGATGAATCTGTCTTTTCAGTTTTTTATTCATTTGGTTTATGAAATGTCAAAAAACATACTTAAGTTCTGAGAGGCCAGCAGTCCAAAACTGAAATATATTTCATTTATATGATATAAAACACAGAAAATTAGCAAATCTTCACATTTGAGAAGCTGAAAGCAGCTACATTTTGTAACTTTTTCCTGATGGCAATGATACATTTACAAAATTGTTGTTGATAAAGTTTCTGTTGAACACATTGATTAAGGAACTAAATAGTTTTAACACTAAACTATGCAATCATATCGTCACAGTATAATTCCAACTGAAAGTTGATGAACAATGTCATTACATTGTTGCACAGCCCCTAGAAGAATTCAGTCACTTTTATTTAATTATTTAACACAATTTATTTTTAATAGAAGTGATAGTCTGACCGATGTCACTGCGTAATGGTGACACTGTTATTTAATGACCTCAGGCCTGGTTTTGCATTTCTGTAAAGCCATTTCTTCTTACTTATCTTACAACACTCACCAATCACGATATTTCTGCAAGCAGCTAATATCGGCTGATGTATCAATCTGATTTTATCGGTTTAGCTCCAGGAGAAATATCTGAGGTGGATATAAAGCATACTGTAGCGTTTTGAATTAAAACCAGTCATATATAATGTAATATATACTTTAATGCAATATATCACCCTACTGAAATGTGATAAAGTGCAGCTCGGCGCAGGAATTAATAATGACTAATTCTCTGTCAAGGCCCTCCTGGGATCACTACTCAGGGCCCCCCTGGCTCTCCGGGGCCCCGTGGACCTCATGGGACATGCGACTCCAGTGACTGTCTCCTTCCACCCCTTTGAACCCAGCAGACGATGTTCCAGTGCTGACGTCCAGCTCAGTGCTGCAGCCACAGAGCAGGAGACGGTCGGCCTCGCTTCCTCAGCTCTGGTTTATCGGACAGACTCACAACTGACCTCTTTTGATCACTTTACAACAGCATTTGTATGCAGTCAGGATTATTCTTTGATGGGTTTTGTTTTGAATGGAAAAGAAAATCTTTTGAGGTTTTTTTTCTTTATTTTGCAATGCTGTACTTTAAAGTTATTTCTTGCTTTCACATCCCCTACTGTTATGTAATTCATTCCTTGTTAACTCTCATTATGTCTTCCAAGACCATGAAATGACTTTGTTTCATCAAGTTCAGTCCTGTCAAAAAAACATGATCTTAATTGTTTGTTTGCCTCCTTAATGGGCGTGCCTTTTCACTCTTCTGTCCTTATTTGGATAAGCCAATGTGCTGGCAGAAGGTACATCTCACATTTGTGTGTGTGTGTGTGTGTGTGTGTGTGTGTGTGTGTGCGTGTGTGTGTGTGTGTGTGTGTGAGAGAGAGACAGCGAGAAAGAGATTAGCTGAATGAATATCCTTGTTTTATGTGGAGGTGTGAGAAAATATTTGATTTTTGAAAGTCCTTATGCAACCAAAGTGCATCAGATGTTTCTGATATGGAAATTATTTATTAGAAGCGTGTTCTTCAAGAATGTACGTAAAGATGGAAATAATAATTGTAGTAAATGTAGCATGGATATTCAGTAATGTTATTACTAGAAGTTGGATTAATGCATTTTTGGATTACTGATATGCATTATCACTGACACATTTACATTGTGCATGATCATCATTTTTTCAAAGAATCTGCAGTATAATCATTGACATTGAATCATTTCTGTCTGTTGTCTGTCGGTTACGTGTCGGTGCTGACCGCCATATCTTTTGTACTACAAAAACCTCCAGCTCGTACTTTTTGTCTGAAACTACTGTGTTTGTAATACATCGAGGGCAGATTTGAAGAATGTACTTTAAATGTTGTGTTTATTTAATGAGTGTGACGTGGCCTCACATTCACCTCTACTGTTGGTTTATTCTGAAGAGAAGTTGAATGAGTGATTGTGATTTTTCTTTTTTTCTTCCTGTCTAATGGGGCCTGTAATGGGACCTGACAATACAATTACATAAGCAAGTTGTCATTGTAATGATCTGATGTGTGTGTGTGTGTGTGTGTGTGTGTGTGCGTGTGTGTGTGTGTGTGTGTGTGTGTGTGAGTGTGTGTGTGTGTGTGTGTGTGTGTGTGAGATGGTGGTTATTAACATTTACTGTTTACATGGTGTTGTGTATGATGATTCCTCTGGTTTATTTGTATATTTATGATTTTCAGCCACAAAAAGGAAATCGGACTACTTCACTATAACTTCAGACTTTTGCTTTTGGTGTGCTCATTATCGTACTTGAACCTTCTCATTGTTTTAACAGTATCATGGTCTACATCCTGGTTTTTACTCACTGACCAGCACTGTGTGTCACTATGTATTGTCTCGCGGTTTGGATTTATTTATTTGCTATAAGAGGTTTTAAAGCCATTTTAATGTTCTCAACTAATTTCAGAAGGTTTTGAGTCAACGTTACCAAAAAGTAAACTTTATAATCACGCAAAACATTTAACTTTTATATATTGTCTTAAAGCTTTTATTTTGAGCGCTGTTTAATGAGTTTTGACTCAAAGGCTTTAATTTTACTTCTAAGTGTCCTGATGTGATTAATGTTTGAAAACTTCTGTGGGTGTATATCTGACATTTTGTGCCGTTATAAACTTGGTTCTTTCTGAATATCATCCGTTAAGATCTGTTTGACACTTTTCTTTTTTAGTTCATCATACTGAACATCATAAAAAGTCATCAGGCTTCTTTTACACATATGAATCAAGAGTATTCTTTCTCAGCATGCAGGCTTGGTTTTATCTCTATCCGTGTGAGTGGGTCTAATTTCAGATGGGTATTGAATCAAATGTCTGCCGCTGCTTTCATTTGTGAGTTTAAAGAGCCCCCTGCTGGACACGCAGCATTCATTTTCTCATTGCTTGTAATGTGAATGGAAAACAATCTTTCTTTGGGTTATAGGCTACATAAAATCCCCTCCTTTTATTGGCTTCTGCCCTTTCATCATGCCAATTTAATATTTGTTTTAATGGGTTCCCCTTGGAGAGAATAACGCCAACCTTGACCAAATTCAAAATGAGGCAGCATCAGTGGACTAATGTGATCTGAACTTGTTGGTGTACTGTTGAGAGCAAACTCTGCGCATATTGAATTTATCTTGAATTGATATTAATGTGCGCCGGTTTGTGACTTTAATTTAGCTAAACTGTATGATAACTAGAGAGGACACAAAATGGCCACTAATGTCACAGCCCACTTCACTAGCAATTTGGTGCCAGCCAGTTTTACATCGCTCCGAGTTAAAATCCATTTATTCTAAGTGTAAAATGTTAGATGAAAGCAAACTGAAACGATGGAGGTTGGAGCATCCTTCAAATCGAGTGACGTTAAACATCCAAAGATTGGCTTGTCAAATAAGGCAAAAGTCCTTTGAAACAATATGTGTTATACTTTATATTTCATTATTGCTTTTTTTTATTGTAATGTAAGTTGATCCTGTTGCAGCATATAATCTAATCTTGTAAATAAGCTTGTAATGAGGGGGAATATGGATCAGCCTCTCAGCACGGTCCCTCGGATTAAAAACGTCTGCCTGCTGCTCTCAATGTAACTCCTCTCTGCTCCTCTGTAAGCTCATGTCCTGCTGTGGGACTTGAATGTGTCTTTTTGAAAGTCTTTGTTCTGTTTAATATCTACCTCAGTCTTGGTTTACCACATGTCTACATGATTAGCCATTTTAGAGAAGAAGAAAAAAAGAATACAACAAACTGTTGCCTTTTACTGAAAAAAGTAATCGATACCTCATCTGTATGTAGAAACAGACAGTCCTGGATGTTGACATCAGTGTGCTGCAGGTCGACTTACTGGACTTTCGACAAAGAATAGGGGCAGCACTGATCCAGTGTGTGTGTGGTTACCAGGTATCAGAGGTTATATTTTACACCTTTCTTTGCAGCATCTTTTATTTACACTGATTAATGGCACCTGCCTTACATGTGTGCAATAAAAGTTATTCAGTGCTTTATTTCCTGTGTTCTTGTGTTGTGTTTTTGGGCGCTAACATAGCCTGGCTTACAGGTTTCTTGTTTTTACAAGAAGTAAAATGTATTTTATGATACACTTTGTTTGTTGAACGGCAATTAATTAATTAATTAAAATGTAAATATATGTTTAAATGCTATTCTGAATGTAATTTTTTAGGTTCAAAGTTGATTCTTGACCTTGGAAACAGCTTTTGACAAAATCAATCTCGCCTTAAAGTACATTTAAAATTGGACCTTTCGCATCAAATGATCTTCATCAGCAGATGGAGTTTGCCCAGTTGTCATGGAAATGTAGATGGAAGACAGTAGATTAGACTGGACACCCTTGAGGAGCTCCAAAAAGATGGATATTTGAGCGTCTACATTTCGACAAGTGGGAAAACTCCCTCTGCTGATGAAGACCTTGTGATATGATCGAAAGCTCCAGAGCAGCTGGTAAATGGATCGTGAGGTGAGATTGTTTCGTCAACTGTGATATCTTTGTTTTTATTTTAGGTTTTGGAAAAACTACTGAGAACTTAAATTTTGCATTTGCTCATATTTGTCACAGAATTTATCATCACAAAATTATACCAGAATACAGAATGCAGAACTTCATGTGTTGTTTTCTTTATTTGTAACATTAATGAGGGTCCCCCTCATCCCTAAAATATCTTTCCATACATGCACGACTGCACTCTGTTGTCATTATGTACAATGAGGCAAAATCTCACATCAGGTTGTTTTGTAGGAAATATAATTAACCACAATTCAAACGTTTTTTTTACAGATTTACAACATTTTCAAAAAAACTGAAGTCAGTGTGACTTGATGACATTCCATCCTCTCTCTACTTTCTATTTTGAACGGCGACGCTGAAACAACAGCCAGACAAGTAGATCAATATATGTTTAAAAGGGGCTTTCAGCAGGTTTATCTTTGGTACATTAGCACATAGCAGAACAAAATAATTGGAAAAAGGCACTTAAACCAAACAAAATCCTGATCCTGATTTGCTTTGGGGGGGTTATTCGAGGAGCTTTTATTGAAGAAACCTGTAAATGGTGAGCATTAAAAGAAAATGCAGGCAGAGGGTATAAGGAGAGTGGGATAAACAAACATCTCTGGTCTTTTAATCTCATCTCAGAAATGTGAGCGCACTTTCCTGAAGATATCAAAACATCTCTCAGAAGAAAAAAAACACAAGAACAAGCTAGATTTTTGCAGCACATCAAAAACAATGTTTGGGGTTTTTTTTCATGAAGAGGCTGGCTCATGATGGTGATGTGGCCGGCACAAAACATGCTCACAAGAATAGAGGTTAATGGATGGAAGGCACCACACCAACCGCAGGCCCTGGGAAAAAAAAAATGGCAAAAATGTTGTGTGCTCAGAGGAGCTAATCCAACAGTCTTTCTGTCCATGTCAGAGTGGCTCTTAGTTCCCTGCAGGTCCCTTCACATCCAGAGACTGATGGGCGGCCCCTGCCTGGAGGTTACAAGATGACGGGTCACAGTAACCATTGGGACCGGCTGTACCGGGAGGCCCAGGTACACCGGACTGTCCGTGAACGCCAGGAGGTCCCCTCTGCCCGTCCCGACCATCCTGACCGTAGCCAGGTTTGCCTGGCTCACCTGTGATCACAGCATTCATTTTAGGATGCTAGGTGCTACATTTAAAGGATTGGTTCTCATTTTATACATCTATTTTACAACAGTCCCGTGCCCTTAAATGCAGCGAAACAGCTTTGGGTTATTGTAATAGACGGACTCAGAAAAGTATACCCTTTAAGATAGAAAGGCAAGTTTAAAAAGGCAAAAGTTACTCACCAGGAAGTCCGGGAGGTCCTGGCTGACCTTTAGGTCCTCGCGCAATGGGCCCCCTGGAGCCTCTGTCTCCCAGTTCACCTGTAACACATATTACGTAATGAAGATATTTGTGTACAAAAATGTCATTGTTTTATTTGATGCATGCCAATATATTCATTACCTTTGGGTCCTTTCATTCCAATAGATCCTGATGGCCCTTTGAGTCCTGGAAGGCCCCTTGCTCCACCCTGCCCAGGGAAACCATTGTCTCCTGGAGGACCAGGTTGCCCTGGAGGTCCAGGTTTTCCAGGTAAACCAGCCACGCCAGTCTCTGGCCTCCTTAAACTAGCAGCTAACTGGGCCAGCTGTTCTGTTGGAGCAGAAAGAAGACGATGAACCGGATGAACTTAAATAAATCAAAATGTGACGTAATTCATATGCATAACTAGCTGCAAGACACTGAGTGTTTCCAAACAGTTGTAGCTGACAGTTATCAAGGGACTTTTTAATACATAACACTTTGTTATGAACCTTTTGGTAGCATAAGTAAGCTCATCTCTGAAAGCCCCAAAGCAACTCTCATAGAGGAGATAGTCCAAAAGCTCTTGTACTTGAGTCAGAGTGAAGCAGAGCGAGGTGAAACTCTGGTCACGATATCCCTCGACCTTCTCCTGTTTTTCAATCTCTTTCTATAGAACCTCAGTAAATTGAGCAGAAAAGAGATAATACTCTTTATTTCAGGCAATCAGCAACAGGAAATGTACATTCTTGGTGCAAAGGATCTAATATTAATCTCCTGTGGCTCCTTGCAGCATGGTATTCTGCTCTTGAGATTTTAGTTTTATGGCTCCTGATGAAAATTCATGCAGCAGCTGCTTGACTGCTCTTTTTTTTTAATATATATTTCCTTTCCAATCAGACTCTTTGCATTGGGTGGAGGAGAGCTGGTCTGCTGAAGGTGAAATTAATTTTTCAGCACATCGGGTATAAAAAAGTCACGAGTGTAGGAGATGAGTTGTGGAGACGTACAGTAAGAGCAACAGAACGAAGAGAACAGAGGTTGTGACTTCAGAGAAACATCTCTGAAGAGGGGGATCTTTCATCCATCACATTAACAGAGACTGAAGCTTATTCCATGTTTTGGTTATTAGGCCGTCCCTTTTTTGAACTTCAGAGTATTCAGCCGCCACCCAGATCAATGAGACAACGGAGGGGCGGCTCCATGTGTGGTTGTGTAATGAGGCATTGTGGGAAAGATTAAAGACATAAAATGAGGCACAGGGGAATGATAAATGGGGTCAAAGGCCTATCAGTTCTTACCTTGCATGACTCGCATGCAAACTTGTCTGATGTGCTGATCGCTTGGCTCTTTACCCTAGAGGGCAGAAAAAGATGACTTAATAGATTTCATGACCATGTCTAAAACATTGACTGTGTCAAAACTCCACAGTACTGTTACCAAGTAAAAACAGCACTCTTCCTGTTTTACTGACCTGCTTTCACTACATTTGAAAGATTACTTTGGTGGAGGAAATTCTGCTATTTTTGAGCTTTTAAATACTGTTTTATTGTACGGAACATTTTCAGAGCATATTGATGTCATTTGATGTGTTACCTGCTGCTGGACAATGTCGGGGTTCAGTGTTTTAGTATGAGCACAAGTTGAAATTATAAAAGGGACATCAAAATATGAAGATAATAGTGTGTAGGGATTTATTAATGGCCTTCACCTTTTAAAACTGTAAAAAAAATAGTCTTTAAGGAAGAAATACTTCAAAAAACGAGCACCTCTTTATCCTCTCAAGAGTAGACCCTAACTATACATTTTGAGAAGATGAGTAGGTGGGAATGAAGGTTTGAAAGTAAAACAGGAAGTGACATACTTGTACAGGATGCCACTTTTTTTTCCCAAGGATGGTGAAGTCCTGACCCGCCCTACTCTGCGGTATGTAGATCAGGGTAAGCCAATCAGAGGCAGAGTAGGGCGGGTCATGCTGTCGCCATCCTAGGAAAATAAATATTGCGTACAGGACACAGGGAGGTTTAATTCAAAATTGTAAACAAATTAGATTCAGTTAGGAAAGAGGAGGTATAAAACTCAGAACACTATCGTGGCTTTATTTAATTGCTACCAATACACTGAATTCAGTGCATCAAAACTCTCTTTTGATGTCAAAATTAAAAAAAATAATAATGAAAAATAAGTCATGGGGTTTCTTGGTAAATTGTCTACTGTACATCAGGTAAATCTGCTCACATGGACAAACAACAAAACAAATTACATATTAACCCCTGACCAGACTGTTTTGCACCTTCTATACCGAGTTATTGTGTAAAATGAATAAATCACAACTGAACAACGTGATACATACTGCTGTACAGATATTGTAGTTATCCTCAAACACTTTTTTCTAAACATTTATCCCTTCAAGTGTTTACTCTTGGACCTACCGCAGGGCCCTGGGACCCTCTGACTCCAGGTGGACCCCTGTTCCCCTGCATGCCCCTCGGTCCAGGTGTGCCAGGCGGCCCCTCGATTCCCAGCTGGCCTCGACTTCCCTCGGGACCTCTTTTGCCAACTTCGCCGAGGTTACCGACCTTCACAGAAAGTACGACCAGAGAATGTTTCAAAGCTGCAGCACTTCCTCAATCGAAATACTGAGACACCAGGTCAGAATGATCTGTTTGAACTCACCTCTCCTTTAGATCCAGATTCTCCTGACTCACCCTAGAACACCATTTATAAAACACAGAGAAAAGAAAGGGCAAATTCACTCTGTTGAGATCCTCCTCTGTTATGAATAGTTCAAATAACTTAAATTAATAGTGTCAGTTCAAATAACTTAAATTAATAGTGTCAGTGTGTAACAACTTACAGGATCCCCTTTGTCTCCAGGGTTTCCCTCATCCCCTTGTGTTCCCTATGAAAACACAATCTGTAAATGATTTATGCAAAGCAACCCACATTGTATTTAAATGCAGCATTACTGTTAAGAGTGAATTATCATTTAGTATGAGGGCTTTATACCTGTTCTCCTTTGGGTCCTCCCT